TATTTATATTACGCACATTGTGAACTGTTGCCTTGAAAGCGGATATTTTCCTGATCAGTGGAAAAAAGCAGTCGTGGTACCTCTTCCAAAAAAAACAAATCCAACTACTTTTAATGAATTGCGTCCTATAAGTTTACTTCCTATTCTCTCTAAAGTTTTGGAGAGAATAGTGTATGAGCAAATCTATGAATTCTTTTCATCTAATAATATACTTCCATTGCACCAATCAGGATTTCGAAAAGGGCACAGTACCACCACTGCTCTTTGCCACTTAACGGACTCAGTAATGTCGGGATTGGATCAAAAACAAGCCACAGCCCTAGTGTTACTTGACTATACTAAAGCGTTTGATACTTTAAATCACCTTTTATTAATTTCTAAATGCAATTATTATGGTTTTTCTGAAAAGCCACTTTCTTTTATAAAAACATATCTTAATAATCGTTCGCAAAAAGTTTTACTAAATAGTCAATCATCAAGTTTCCTATCAATTCAATCTGGAGTTCCGCAGGGTTCCATTCTAGGGCCTTTGCTATTCCTTATTTATACGTCTGATTTAAACAAACAAATAGAAACGTGCAAGGTCCAATTTTTTGCTGATGATACTCAATTACATCACACTTTTGATGATAATAACTCTAATGCAGCACAGAATATAATGAACGCTGATTTATCACGAATAAACACATATTCTGTAAACCATAACTTGCATTTGAATGCTTCTAAATCTAAGTTAATTTTATTTTCGAATACCAACTCACGTTCAAGCATAAAAAGTAATATGTCAATTAAAATTGATGACGATACAGTCCCATGTGTAAATGTAGCTAGAAGTCTAGGCTTACTTTTAGATGAGAACATGCGGTTTATTGAATATGTGAATAACCTCTCTTCTCAGTGTTATTTAACATTAAAATTATTATTTGCCAATAAGTATATATTGTCACAACAAATGAAAAAAGACCTTTGCGAAACTCTAATATTGAGTAAAATATTATATTGCATAGTAATTTACTATTCTTGTTTAGATTTAGTAACTTCGAACAGACTGCAAAAAATTCAAAATACCTGCTGTCGCTTTATTTATGGATTGCGCAAATATGATCACATTTCAACATATTTTAGGCAGCTGCAATGGTTAAACATCAAAAACTTATTTAAATATCATCTTCTCTCTTTTGTCCACAATATACTAAAATCTCAAAATCCACCATATTTGGCAACTAAATTAATTTCTCGTAATCAGATTCACAATGTAAATATCCGCAGACAATTTACACTAACAATGCCACAACACACATCTGCTATTTTTGCTAGAAGTTTTACGTACAATGCCATTAAACTTTATAATGAACTAGACGATGAGCTAAAAAATACTTATTCTCGATCAAGTTTTAAACACAAACTAAAAAAACTCCTACTCCAACAGCAAGCCAACAATTAATAAGTTTGTTTTTCCCTATATTTAAAATTTAAATTTATTTTAATTCTACTACTTTTATTATTGTTTTTATATGTTTTCTACTGTTTTAACCTTATTTGTGTATTGTATTTTAACATTTTAATATATCTTAATACTTTCTGTTTTAAATTAAGAGGAGTTAGATGGAAGAATAGCCTATGGCTAAATCTCGCTCCATTGCTAAAATTTTTGTAATATTTTGAAAAATTATCAATAAAGACGGTTTATTATTATTATTATTATTATTATATATTACATATTATATTCAAATTTTATTTCGAATTCAAACATCATCCCAGCGAGTCCCGTCTCTTAGGCGCCGTTTTATTACTTCTGGGAAAAACAGCCTTTGTGTCGTGCATCACGGCCACTAGCTAAAAAAACACATGTGTTTTTTAAGGGTTACCTTCAGGAATTAATACAGGGCTTTATAGTCTTTATGCTCGAACGCATAGTTGTTCTCTTTCCGATACATTGGAGTATATGGGAAATTTAAGTATAAATACCCGGGTCTTTGTGGGCAAAAGGATTAACTTTTTCTCCTTCACCGAGTCAAGTTAACAAGAATACGCAAATATCCATGTCCCACTACGGTGACTCCTTTTTCTTTATATTCTTCAAATATAATTAAAAAGAGATATGCTACCCTTACGGTGGCCGTGTTCTTGTTATATTTTGAGAACGGAAATAAAAGATATCGACGGAGTAGAGAAATTAGTTTCTATAAACGACGGCTTCTGCATAGGTATCCAGTTGTCCTTAGGACGACCACCTTTTTCTTATATTCTAGATATAAGTAAAAGGAGATATATAGTCAGTTTTGACCAAGCAGATACACGTTGAGTAGAACCAGATTTCGCTCCTAGAACTGTTTTGTAAAGTTGTATCTACCGAGCGACTAAAATATTGGCGTAACTAATACTGGTGATACCTCGCTAGTCTAGTTAAACGCCAGATATTTTGTATCTCCGATTCAACGTTATAAAATGTTACTAAATGATTAAAAGTGCTACTCTAGGCGTCGTTCGTATTGGATTGTGTCACCCTTCTGGCTGACCGACGAACTTACGTCCGGTAGACCTTTTGTCAGCGGTATACTTTTATTTCTGTAAGGTTTCTTTTACGTAGAATTAAAACGATAATCGCACTATTAAAGTAATCAAACTAGTAATTAATATTCAGATATTCCGGGGGAGAATTTAGACAAACATTAATAGGTTACAGGTATCACTTTATTTACTCTTATATTCATTAGCGGGAACATTCGCGGCTGTGTGTTATTGTCATATTTTTGGTATTCATTGGTAAAAGTTTATTGTGGGAAAAATTATAGGGTTTTTATATTGTGCTAAATTATGTTATTTAGAGAATCGATAGTGATGTTGTTGTCATAAATATTAATTATTCTAAAGTCGGTCAATGCTCTCAAGCAATAAATTAAGTCATTTAGATTTATGGCCAAAGGGCCGAATTGTAAAGTTTCGGTTGTCTGTAAACAGTACCTGCCCCTTTCAGTAAAGATAAAAAGCACTTTCAGTTTTACTTTTAAATGGCAAACAGATGTAGATTAGTAGGGTAAACGCCTTGATTTGTATATATTTTACAGTTAGTTTGCGGTTTAAAAAATATGTTTTCTGTCGTTCTTTGTAAAACAAAATTGGGTAGATAAATGTGTCATTTTAGCCGTACGGAATTTTAGTTTTGTGTATCGAATTTCCGGGAAAAAGGAGATATGTACAGCGGCGGGTAGAATCATGAATATTGAGGGGGGTCGTATTTATTTGTACATATCCACATATCTTTAGCGGGACATTACGCGGAAGTAGTCGGTATGTTTGTTATTTGTTTAGAATAAATAGGTGAAATTGTGTTTGTGGACTAGCTAACGTATCCTCAGAACTGTGATTAATAACACTGATTTGTCAATCGACAGAGCAAAAGAGCATCGTGCCAAAAAAGACGCCTTAGGCCACCATAGACCGCCAGGGACCTCAATAGTCAGGGCCTAAAAATGGTATTTCCCTTGCGGCTATGTAAATTAAAGCCTGATAGAGGCTTGGATGGATCTCTACTGAGATACCCCAAAAGCGGGCCTGACGGGCATCCCCCTTTATATCAGGTGTTCTCCGATCGACTGTTTAGTGTTGTTCATACAGGACTGAGTATGTCGGTAAATTACGGCATTGGAATATTAGGGAAAGGCGTGACGCACGGTGAGGTAAATCTACATTCCGGTTTTTACACATATTAGAAATATTAAATTTGACCGACTTCAAAAAGGAGGAGGTTCTCATTTCGATGCAATATTTTATATCTCACAACACTCCTCGTGCTACCGTTGTACTCTCTTTTATTAGACAATGCGTAATTCAGTAGTTCCGTGGAAACGTGTGATTGTATATTAGGAGACAAACAAACATACCAAATTACTTCCGACTTTTATTTTACCCTGTTATGGGAACTAAAAGCTCTGAGGTTAGAAATGACACATTAGAAAGCCTACATAAACATAATGTTAAGCCTAAAAATGGCACATAATCTAAATGTTCGGCTGTACAAAAGAATAGATGTTAAATAAACAGTATTCAAAATTAATCTCGGTGTTTCCTTTGTTCTCCCTCCATTACAGCTACATTGAACTCTAAACGAAATTCTGGGGGTTTTAACATCACTTCGTGGGGATCTACTAGACGAAATTTAGGCCAAGGTTATAAGTATTTGCAAAACTAGGTCAGGGTCCGGTTTGTCAAGTTACATATAATACCTACAAATTAAAGCCAGCCAAAAATAAGGCAGATACTTATTCGAAAAATGGATTGTTAGGTAATTAAATTTACGTCTTACCTGGGACCATACGCACACCATTCGTTCGTATTTCGCAACAGCGTAAATCTTCTTCTAACTTAATCTGACGTGGATCATTGTCACTTTCTTTCTTGAATTACTACCGAATAAGTGTGGATTGCTGATGTCGAACAGATGTACAGAGAGAGCCCTGAAGAGATGGTTACACATTTCTGTTTTATTCTGTTAATACCCGGTTGCATTAAAGTCTTTATTTAATTTTTATTAATTTATTTATTCATTTCTCTTAGTTCCGAGTAAACTTTTTCTTGTTTTATTCCAAATGATCCATCTGTAATGTATGATTTCAATAACTATGTGTATTGCCTGATAAATTACATGTTTAAATTTATGTTTAAGTCCTTCATACCATACTTTTCGAAAGCTTGTGCAACGTCTAAGAAAACAGTGGTTAAAACTTTTCTTTTAAAGATTTTAAATGGTGTTTGTTATTCGGTGGACTTGTCAATGGTTGAATTTTGATGTAATTTGTCAGTTCACGTAGAAATTCACTAATATAGGTACAGCCTAAGGATACACTAACTTATTTTACTTACTAATATTCTAAATAACATTAGTATTCAGGATATCATATTCATATTTTCCTATAACTAGATATTATTTGTAGAATAGTATATTTAATAAATATCTGATGTTTTTTATCAAAGCTTTCAATAAAATTATACACTTTCAGGAAACAAGGAGTTTAATATAGTCTACAAGAAAGATGCCATGGAAACAGATACTTTCTATTTAGTGCACGTGGTATTTTTGGTATTTGGAATCATGCATTTATTACCGGTATCCTTTTTCGTAACAGCTAATGATGTAAGTATTTAGATACACCAAAAAGAGGTACTAAATCAAAGCTTTGTTCGGTTTGTTTAAAAATTTGTTGTAAACCTTACCCAATCTGATTTCGCCTTAACGTTTTTGGGAATTGTTTTTGATATTTAGCAATTACATTTTTGTCTATTTTGATATTTGGGTATTATTATAGTACATATTATTTTTGTGAATGTTTTTGTACCACTTGAAATGAGAGTTCATCCCCTAGAAAGATACTAAAAGTAGTTCTTGATTTTTCAGTCTAGGTGCTGTCAGTAGGATATCTTCGGACACTTTGCACACATTATTATTTAGTTTGAATAATGTATATATGGTATTAAACATATCATACCTTCTCCACTCCGAGCGAAACCGGGTGATCCTCATAAATTATTCGTTGCGTACGTTTAAAGTTATCACTGATCAACTAGTCCTATAATAATTTTCAGCATGTTTTTGAACAAATCGAACAAATCTAAAGGCAACGTTTTTAGGTTAAGAAAATTCATTTTTAATCTAATTCTTTTTTAGTATTGGATGTATAAGTTTAGAAACGTCACGTTGGACACGAAAGATCCAAACTACAGATCGGCACTTCAGTCAAATTTTTCGTCAGGAAGTATGGTAGCGCAATCTGTACCGACGGTGATATGCATGATTCTAGCGATGGTGTTTGCTTATAAAATACGAGTGAAAATAAGGATAATGTCGTCCTTGTACGTCTTGGCTGCATGTTTCGTCGTGTCCACGTGTTTTATTAAAATTAACACGGATAAATGTAAGTGTAGATTTATTTTGGTGTATTTTTATATTCTAATATGTTTTATATTTCCCAGTGCGGTTCCAGTGGTTGTAGACATCAACTCATTCTGGCCTCTCCCTTTATAACTAGGTCAAGAAATGGCAGGTTTAGAATGACTTCTATAGAGGCTGTCGGTGTACTTCTCAGAGCTCTTATTCCAACCTTTACTTCTAAGAAGGTATTGGTTTGCTTTTAGCCACCAAACAACCACTCCATAGGTTGACATGCCCTTTGCAGATCTAGGGTCCTTGTATTATAGCTACATTAACGTCCTCCCTGATAATGGTACCGTCCAAGGATCGCCTTGCAGCGCTTCAGATTAGCTTGTACTATTCTGAGCGTCTGAGGATTCTTCCTTTCGCTTTGCTTTATCTGTAGTTCATTGACCTGGATTAAATATTTAGTTGTTTGCTCCTCAATTCCTTACTCATCATTTAAACTTACATTAGTCAACGTTTTTTGCTTCGTGTAGCCGTTGGTATCCTTGATTTCGATCACTCTTTGAAGTTAATTTTTCCCTTAATTTTATTTTTAGATATCTACTGCATCATATTTAATATAATTAATATTATTTGCCTTGGAGATAAATAATTGTTTAAATTTTCCAGGGCAAGCTGGATTCTTTGCCTTTACGATGACCACATTAGCTGTAATGAATGGTAATTGTTTTTATAATCCTATTGAAAAAGCAAAATGTGACCAAGACTGAGATAATTTTATGTTGTATTTAATACATCGATGATCTTCTTTACTCAAGAATCATAGAATCATTAAACAATAATCGTATTACATATGGGTTTCGTTTTTAGGAATACTGGCTTTATTCCAGGTGAGTTCTTTGGCATTATTGTCGAAATTTCCTCCCATCTATATGAAGACGTTTCTCATAGGACAAGGTGTCGGCGGAATCTTCTGTTCGGCTCTTCAAGTGGTCGCTTTGATAGTTGGGACGTCATCTGAAGCTTCTGCGCTCATTTACTTTCTAGTTGGGACTTTGTTGACAGCGGTAACTTTGATTTTATACCACGTCGTTCATCATCAAGGTAAAACTTTATTGGTTTACTCTGATTTACAGAAAATGATAATAAAAAATTGTATTTTTAGATTTTTACAATGTAATCATCGAGAGCAATCAGGAGGACACCAAAAGGGATCTGATCAGTTTCAGGGAAGTGAATGATATATCTGGTAAGATTTGGTCAAGTTTGGTTATGGTTATAGCTGGTGCTCTGGCTTACGTTCCGACGCATCCATCAATTGCTGCATTGGTTGTATCTGAGTATAAAACTGATTGGACTGGTAAGAAGGCACAACTCATTTAAATAAATTACTTGTTCTAATACTTTGATTATGTTATTGTTGTTAATTGCTGATCCTGTATAGAGTAGAAAAGAGTATCATTATTTTTATTTTGTTTTAGAAAAGTATTTTGTAGCTGTAGTTACGTTTTTGTTCAGTGACATTTGCTGTGTAATTGGAAGAGTTTTGGCGACAACCATAAAAAAGGTAAACTCTCAATTCTTCCTAGGAAATGAAAAATACACTCCCATATCCCCAAAGTGAAAACAAACTAAAAAAAAAATTGAAAAAGCAGAAAAAGATATAAAAAAAAAAAAACAAAAAGAGAAAAGAATAAAGAAAAATGAAGAAATCAAAAAAGAAAAGAGAAAAAAGTAAAAATAAAAAGGAAAAAGAAAGGAAAAAAAAAGAAAGGAAAACAAGAAGGAAAAATTCAGCTTTTTCAATTTTTCTTTGACTTATTTTCACTTTAAGGAACGCTCCCTGCATTGCCAGTTGGTAACCCTGCTGATAAGGTCGTCTTCAGATATAATTTAATGCCTGTTGTAGTATTAGCCAAAGAAGTAGTTATTTTTCAGAAGAAAATGGTAGTTGAACATTTCTGTGGCATAGTTTTTGAGTTTTTATTATTTAATATCTTTTTTAAAGTTATTATAATTGTTTTATTTTTTCAGAAACCTCACCATTCAGTTTTGGCCGGTATGTCAGTAATACGAATGATTATGTTCGTTCCGTTGTTCATGTTTTGCAACGCTCTGCCCAGAGCACATTTGTCCGTATGGTTCCCGCACGATTGGCAGTACGTCATCATTTTGGGCAGTTTTATGATATCGAGCGGATACTTTTTCAATATGGCATTTTTAAATGTAATTAGGTGAGTGCAACAAAAGTAAAGTGGCATCGGATGTGTATAAATAAACGTATTCTAAGGCGTGAAATGTACGGAAGCGTAGAAGAGCAACAAATATGTATTTTTCTGACTTAAAACTCGGTAAAAAAGAGATTATTTCGAGTTGGAGCTCGAAAAAATAGATTATTTAGACTTACAATTCGTAAAAATCGATTTGCCCGATTTAGAACTCGAAAAAATTGATTATTCTGACTTAGAACTCGGAAAAAATAAATTATTTAGACTGAAACTCGGAAAAATCGATTTGTCCGACTTGAAACTCGGAAAAATAAATAATTCCGACTTAGAACTCCAAAAATAGAATAATACGACTTAGAACTCCAAATAATAGATTATTCCGACTTAAAACTCGGAAAAATAGATTTTTTCTAACTTGTAACTTAGAAAAATAATTTTTTCCGACCTAGAACTCGGAAAAATAAATTACTTCAGCTTAATACTAGGAAACAATACATTATTCCGACTTACAACTAGGAAAAATAAATTACTTCAGCTTAATACTAGGAAACAATAGATTATTCCGACTTACAACTAGGAAAAATAAATTATTCCGATTTCGAACTCAGAAATATCGAGTTTTTTTTTTACTTTAAACTTAGTAAAATAGATGTTTTCCAACTAAGAACTTGGAAAAACAGATTATTCCGACTTAGAACTCGGAAAAATCGATTTGTCTGACTTGGAATTCGGAAAAATAGATTATTTCGACTTAAAACTCGGAAAAACTAGTCTGAAAAATAGATTTTTTTTCTAAGAACTCAAAAAAATAGATTATTGTGACTAAGAATTAGGAAAAAATAGATTATTTTGACTTATAACTATTAAATAATAGATTATTTCGACTTACAACTCGGAAAAATATACTATTCCGACTTAGAACTCGGAAATATCGTTTTTTCTAAATTGTAACCTAGAAAAATAGATGTTTTCCGACTAAAAATAAGGAAAAAAATAGATTATTTCGATTTGGAACTCGGAAAAAATCGATTTGTCTGACTTGGAACTCAGAAAAATCGATTTGGAACTTGGAAAAATTAATTATTTCGACTTGGAAAAGTTGATTATTCCAACTCAGAACTCGGAAAAATTGATTTCTCTAACTTGTGACTAATAACTTGGAAAATTAGATTATTTCGACTTAAAACTAGGAAACAATAAATTATTGCGACTTAAAATTCGGAAAAATATATTATTCAGATTTAGAACTCGGAAAAATCGATTTTTTCTAACTTGTAACTTAGAAAAATAATTTTTTCCGACCAAGATTTTGGAAAAATAAATTATTTCGACTTAATACTAGGAAACAATATATTATTTGGACTTACAACTAGGAAGAATAGATTATTCCGATTTAGAACTCAGAAATATCGAGTTTTTTTTTTACTTTAAACTTAGTAAAATATATATTTTCCAACTAACAACTCGGAAAAAATAGATTATTCCAATTTAGAACTCGAAAAAAACTGATTTATCCGACTTAGAATTAAGAAAAATAGATTATTTCGACTTAAAACTCGGAAAAAAATAGATTAGTACGGCTTAGAAATCTGAAAAATAGATTATTTTGACTTAGAACTTCGGTAAAACGATTTTTTCTGATTTTTAGCTTGGAATAATGGCTTTTTTCTAACTAAGGACTCAAAAAAATATATAATTCCGACTAAGAACTTGGAAATATCGATTTTTCTGACGTTAAACTTAAAAAATAGATTTTTCCGATTAATAACTCAGAAAAAAGGATTATTCCGACTTGGAACTCGGAAAAATCGATTTTTTCCGACTAAAAACTCTGAAAAATAGATTATTTCGACTTAGAAATCGGAAAAAATAAATTATTCCGACTTAGTAATCGGAAAAATAATTATTCCAACTAAGAACTCGGAAAAATCTGAATTTTAACTTAGAAAAATAGATTTCTTCCGATTAAGAACTTAGAAAAATAGGAAAAATCGATTTTTTAAACTTGGAATTCGGAAAAATGGATTACTTCGACTCACAACTCGGAAAAATAGATTGGAAAAATCGATTTTTTTCTGACTTGTTACTTAGAAAAATAGAATATTCCGACTTGTAACTCGGAAAAACCGATTTATCCGACTTGAAACTCGCAAAAAATGAATATTCCAACTTGGAACTCGGAAAAAGAGATTATTACGACTTAGAATTCGAAGAAAATAGATTATTCCGACTTAAAATCAGGAAAAAAAATAGATTATTTTAACTTATAACTAGGAAATAATAGATTATTGCGACTTATAACTCGGAAAAATATAGTATTCCAACTTAGAATTTGGAAATTAGTTTTTTCTAAATTCTAACTTAGAAAAATAGATGATTTCCGACTAAAAACTAAGAAAAAATAGATTATTTCGATTTAGAACTCGGAAAAATCGATTTGTCCGACTTGGAACTAGAAAAATTTATTATTCCGACTTAGAACTCGAAAAAGTTGATTATTCCAACTCAGAACTCGATAAAATTGATTTTTTTATTGTGACTAAAAACTTGGAAAAATAGATTATTTCGACTAAAACTAGGAAATAATAGATTATTGCGACTTAAAACTGGAATAAATATATTATTCCGACTTAGAACTCAGAAATATCGATTTTTTCTGACATATAATTTGGAAAAATAGATGTTATCCGATAAAAAAACTCTAAAAAATAGATTATTTCAACTTAGGACTCGGAAAAATAATTATTCCGACTTACAACTAGGAAAAATAGATTATTCCGATTTCGAACTCAGAAATATCGAGTTTTTTTTTTACTTTAAACTTAGTAAAATAGATGTTTTCCAACTAAGAACTCGGAAAAATATTTTATTTCGACTTAGAACTTCAAAAATATCGATTTTTTCCGATTGGTAACTTGGAAAAATAGATTTTTTCAAACTAAGAACAAAAAAAATAGATTATTCCGACTAAGATTAATTAATAGATTATTTCGACTTAAAAATCGGAAAAAATAGATTATTCCGAGTTACTACTCGGAAAAATAAATATTCCAACTTAAAACTCGGAAAAATCTGAATTTTAACTTAGAAAAATAGATTTCCTCCGATTAAGGACTTAGAAAAATAGGAAAAATCGATTTTTTAAACTTGGAATTCTGAAAAATAGATTATTCCGACTTACAACTCGGAAAACTAGATTGGAAAAGTCGATTTATACGAATTGGAACTCGAAAAAATAAATTATTCCGACTTCGAACTCGAAAAATAGAATAATTCGACTTAGAACTCAAAACAATAGATTATTCCGACTTAGAACTCGAAACAATAGATTATTCCGACTTAATACTAGGAAAAATAGATTATTCTGATTTCGAACTCAGAAATATCGAGTTTTTTTACTTTAAACTTAGTAAAATAGATGTTTTCCAACTAAGAACTCGGAAAAATAGATTATTCCATCTTAAAAATCGGAAAAATCGATTTGTCCGACTTGGAATTCGGAAAAATAGATTATTTCGACTTAGAAATCGGAAAAAATCGAATTTTTGCGAGTTCTAAGTCGGAATAATCGATTTTTTTCCAGTTCTAAGACATAAAAATCGATTTTTCCGATATCTTAGTCGGAAAACTAAAAAAAATTATATTTTGTAGCCGTTTTACTCTTCCGTAGAAATGTGTTATTGTGTTATTTTAATATTACCTTCAACTAACTGTTGACATTCTGTTTCAGGTTAGCTCCAGAGGCTGAAGAGACGTCGTACTTAATAATGCAGACTGTTATTGGGATAGTTGGAGCAGTATTCTCACCTTTAGGAGTTTTATGCGTTAATTTATTATAGAATATATTTTTTCATTTGTAAATAATTATAGAATCACTTATTTAAATTTAGGTAATTTAAGAGTAATCTAATTTATACATTTTTTTTTAGTAAAATTGTTTCTTTTTTAAAATAGGTTTTTGTAAATATTTATTTAATTTTGCAGTAATTTTTATAAAAGCTTAAAATTTATTATTTTTATTTCTTTATTAAGAGGATATGTAGAAAAAGGAATTATCAATCATTGACAGTTATTAAAAATACATAATTATAAATATTATTATAATTAAAAAAAAATATCACAACTTGTTATGACGACTGAGAACGGTTTGAAGGTCGTTATTAAAAAAAGGTCAACACTATATCTCAAAATACTGGAATTTCGGTCTGTTCTTTATCCATGATATCGTCATCTAAGGACATGAGATACATGAACGTAAAATAAAGAGCCGGAGCACTCAATAGATGCCACACGTCGTGCTTATCGAAAAATTTTAATAAAAGACACTCTTGGTTCCATTGACGGGATTCGGCTGGCGTCACCTGAAATTTTTTTTTATTATTAAGGGTTTTCTTCCATAATTTCAGCACAAAATTCATATATAATACACAGAGTGGTCAAATATAAGAGGTAAATGTCTGAACGGCCTATTGTACAGATCCTATCGAAGAGAACCTGATAAAATACCTGTAAATACCTCTAATTTTAGAACGCACTGTATAATATATAACCTCAACTACTATAAAAATAATTACTCACAGTCCAAAGTGTCGCTGCATCTAAGAAATATATACTAGACCACGACCAAGTTGCTATACTCAAAAGTCCATAACAAATAGCTTCAAAGCATACTCTCTCTTTGTTTATCAGCTATAATGAATTCAATAATAATTTTACAGGATGTTCGGAAATACCGTCCGAATAATTTCAGAAAACATGAAAATTTTTTCATATGCAAGGCATAGTTATGAATATACAGGTACAAGTCCAGATCCTTGGGTGTATGCCTCCTAAATGTACCGCATCTCTAGATAATTTTTAATATTTTGACTAATCCTTAACGTTGACGTTATAAACTCCTGTACCTGTAGAGGAGTAAATAGTAAAATTTGGGTATGTTCCAACACAGTACAAATCATGCGCTGTGTACAGTTTTTGCATAGAGCGTACGATTTGTACCGTAATATCGGTTTCGCCTGTGTTGGAACAAATAGATTGTTCCGAATTAGAACTCGGAAAAATAATACAGTTTTTCTAACTTTTAACTTAGAAAAATAGATGTTTTTCCGACTAGGAACTCAGGAAAATAGATTATTCCGACTTAGAACTCAGAAAAATAGATTATTTTGATTTAGAACTAGGAAAAATCGATTTTTTTTTGACTAAGAAGTCAGAAAAAACAGAATATTCCGACTTGGAACTCGGAAAAATGTATTATTTCGACTTACAAATCGATAAAATCAATTTTTTTCTGACTTGTGACTTAGAAAAATAATTTTTTTCGACTAAAAACTTGGAAAAATAGTTTATTTCGATTTGAAACTCCGAAAAATCGATTTGTCCGATTTGGAATTAGCAAAAATAGATTAGGACTCGGAAAAATTGGATTATTCTTATTTAGAATTTGAAAAAAGCGATTTCTCCGACTGTGAATTCTAAAAAATAAATCATTCCGACATAGAACTCGGAAAAATCGATTTTTGTAACTTGTAACATAGAAAAATAAATTTGTTTCGAGTAAGAACTCGGAAAAATACATTAATCCGAAATAGAAATTCGAAAAATCGTTTTGTTTGATTTAGACTTTGAAAAAATAGATTATTCCGACTTAGAACTTGGAAAAATTTGATTATTCCGACTTAGAATTTAGAAAAATTGGTTTCTTCGACTTGTAATTCGGAAAAATAGATCATTCCGACTTATAACTTGGAAAAATAGATTATTCCGACATAGAACTAGGAAAAATCGATTTTTGTAACTTGTAACATAGAAAAATAGATTTGTTTCGACTAAGAACACGGAAAAATAGATTATTCCGAAATATAACTCCGAAAAATCGTTTTGTTTGATTAAGAACTCGGAAAAATGGATTATTCCGACTTAAATCTCTGAAAAATCGATTTATCTGACTTGGAATTCGTAAAAATAGATTATTCAAATTTTGAACTCGGAAAAATTTATTATTCCAACTTGGAACTCGGAAAAATAGATTATTACGACTTAGAACTCCAAAAACATAGATTATTTCGACTTAGAATTAGAAAAAATAGATTATTTTGACTTACTCGTAAAAATAGATTATTCCAATTTTGAATTCGGAAAAATTGATTATTCTGACTTAGGACTCGGAAACATATTTTTACAGTCTTGAAATTAAAAAAAATGATTTTTCCGACTAAGAACTTGGAAAAAATGGATTATTTCGACATCAAACTGGGAAAAAATAGATTATTCCGATATAGAACTCGTAAAATCGATATTTTCTGACTTGTAACTTAGAAAAATCGACTTGATCGATTTGGAACTCTGAAAAATAGATTATTTCGATTTAGAACTTGGAAAATATAGATTTTTCCGATTTACAACTTGGAAAAATAGATTATTCCGATTTAGAACTCGTAAAAATCAATTTATCTGACTTTGAACTCGTAAAAATAGAGTATTTCAATTTTAAACTCTGAAAAATTGATTATTCCGATTTAGGACTCGGAAAACTTATTTTTACTGACTTGTAACTTAGAAAAATAGATTTTTCCGACTAAGAACTCGGAAAAATAGATTATTTCGACTTAAAAGTAGTAAAAATCGATATTTTCTGACATGTAATTTAGAAAAATCGATTTGTTGGATTTGGAACTCTTAAAAATAGATTATTTCGATTTAAAACTCGGAAAATCGATTTATTTGATTTGGAACTCTGAAAAATAGATTATTCCGTCTTAGGATTCGGAAAATTAGATTATTTCGACTTAGAACTTGGAAAAAATAGATGTTTCCGATTTGCAACTTGAAAAAAGAGATTATTCCGATGTAGAACCCCGGAAACTTATTTTTACAGACTTGTAACTTAGAAAAATAGATTTTTTCCGACAAAGAATTTGGAAAAATAGATTATTTTGACTTAGAACTTAGAAAAATTTTTTTTCCGATTTAAAAGTAGGTCATTCCGATTTTGAACTCGTAAAATTCAATATTTTCTGACTTGTAACTTAGAAAAATCGATTTAGAATCGATTTGGAACTCTGAAAAATAGATTATTCTGTCTTAGAACTGTAAAAAATTGATTTTTTTGACTTGTAACTTAGAAAAATTGATTTTTAGAGCTTTTCTGACTAATAAATTATTTCGACAAACAAAATATTTTTTTCACTAATCTATAATCAATAGGGTGTCAAACGGTCGCGTGCAATGACCTAAATGTCCCGTACCTTTAGATAAGTTTTCATATTTTGACTATTTACCGTTAACGTTACAAGAATAAATATTATAACATGAATAAACATGCAAATAAAATTTCAAGTGCAAAATCGTATACCGTTTATATTTTTCACAATATTTCCTTCTTTCTGTACTTCTGTACCTGTAACTTAATATATGTCTTTGCAGGCTTTCATGTGATCATCATTAGAAATGTTGTGAAATTCATACAAGAAACAAAATATTGAATAGCACTCAGATAAAAGGTAAATCTCTCATTTATTACCGAAGACATCGTGTGAACAAGAATAGATAGCTGTTTTGAATTGCTGGAAGGACAATGCGAGAACAATTCAAGAAACAAAAATGTTTTTAGTTTAATACGAAAAACAAAATCTTGCACATTTTTTTGTCAATACTATTCCTAGACTTCATAATTTTAACCTAATAGGATATTTAAGATATTTATAAGAAAATTGATTCTTTTTTAAATTCGACGCCTTTAATTTTGAAAATTATGCATTTTCAGACCCAGGTTCGTATGAAAAAATTTTCATGTTTTCTTATGTAGAATCCGGATACCAAATAATAAAATATTTTCAGTAAGAGATCAATTGGTATCTCGATTAAAAGACTATTTTAATAAAAAAATTAAATACCTTCATGCAAGTGTAGAAAATGGCATGTATTACACCGTTACCCATCAGCAAAGCTAAAAGAAATGTACCAAAATCAGTGACATTTTCATTATACAACCACAGACCAATTATGAGCATCGAATAGTTGGCAATGTTTGCTATCAGCAATAGCACGAATCTGGCTGGAATCAAAATACATTTTACACACATGAATTTATTATAAAAAAATCTAATCATTATGATTCCTTACTTTTCCTAATTGGTTTTAACGACTCGAAGCAAAATCCATGATCGTTGATGCAATTCTTAAACTGTTCCAATCCGTCTATAACGTAATTCAAAAAATAAATTTTGAACGATAAACCCACCACTAGAAGCGTGTAGCACACCACAAAGATTACCCATATAGCTAGGTTTCCGTTTAGAATACCTATCATAGCTAAAAAAAAAGTTTTATTCATAATTATTGTAATTTTTTGTATAAATGACACTGTGGTGTAAACTTTTGGGGGTTTGGCTAAGACCGGTACGATGTGGATTGTAACTATAGTCATTAAAGATAATGAATTCACATTAATTACAAAAACGTTTTTCAAACTTAGTTGAAGTATTTATTAAATTGAATATATTATAAATTTAAGGTCCGGAACATATTAATATTTGCAAAAAAATAAAACTAGAGAAAAATAAACAATTATTTTTTAAAAATATAATGAAAAACGTATGTTTTAAAATTAATTTTGTGACCATGTACCTATATTGAACATAATGGCAAAAAAAAAAAATAATAGAGGTTTCTTACACTGATCTAACGGATTGGCCTACTTTTTTCGGGACATTCGAGATTCGGTATACACTAATTTAGAGAAACGATATACTTGTTTTTAGAAATGTATCATGTAATGCTATTGTACTTCGGTGGGTGCGGATGGAGAATGCACTACAACAATTTGAAGAAATATGACTTGGGAGCAAGTTAAGTACCAGGAACGATTATTGTTTATTTGAAAATGCATGATAGCGCAATTTTTAATGCAAAAGGTCTATATATTTATATAATTTTGCTAGCATTCATTTTCAAATGAACTCTATAAGGAAAATATATGAACAGTGGAGCACATCGCTCCTCTCGTTATTGTAGAATGGACTCGTCCGACTGGCGAGCGCATGACGTTATCGAGTGAAAATTTCTTATACATTAATTTTAACTCTATTGAGTGTGACAAGACAAACTGTGAATTCAAAGACACGAGTATATGTTGGAATTTTCCTACGTGACAATGAGTAGAAATTCTGTATTTTTTTTTTAATGCGTAGGTTTGAACACAGCTAGTTTGCAAAATGTTAATTATGAAATTTAAACAGTGGGACATTCTCAATCTCGATATACTACGAGAAAGCTCTAGAAACAGTAGACATTGCCAGAAATGTTATTAATTCTGGTCATCGCTAGTCTAAAACAACTAGAAACTTCGAGAAACAAATCTGCGTCATTACATTTTAATATAAATAGCGCAACTTTGTCGATATGAGTTTTAGTTTAAGTCAGAAATTCGATTTGTAACGATAAATACTGTTAATAAAAATTAATATGAGTGTTTGAAATATTGTCGTGCAAAAGCCAACCCTGTGCTTTGTTTACTCCTTGCCCGCGACTCTGGCAATATAGAGACAAACGCATCGCTTCTCGAAAAAGCTGAAATAATCGCGGTGCGGCGCATGAGTCATAGAAAGGCAATTTTTGATCGTACAGAGTTGGCTTTATATAAATAGCGCGAGTTGTCGACGGAAGGGGATATTGAATTTAAGGACAGAAAAGATAATAAATTAGAATAGTGCATAAGTATTATATAAATTAATTAGTACGTCATGAGTAAATTGTAAATAAACTATAAATAAATTAAACAAATGTTACAATATAAATAGTGTAGTTTTGAGTATAAATTAATTTAGTTAATAAATAGACTGTGTTTTGGTGAATATAAATTAAAATAAATAAACATTACAAGATGATGAGATGGAAATGGTGTATAAAATGTGACCGATACTTAAAAGAGATGCAGATAACTTACCCAAAAAAATGGCTACTCCAGAACGGTAAAAGTTGTGTAGGCGGTGGCGTTAATGTCCGAATGTCGATTTTGGTACAGTTTTACCATACACAACACCGCCATGACGTACATAAAACTCGTATCTACAAAAATAATCAATTTTAATTTGTCGCGGAACTATAAGAACAGAATTTCAACGGTTATAGAGAGGATGTTAACGTATTAAGGATAATATGAAAAGAGGTGAAATTTTTTTGAAAAATTTGTTGTTTCTTTGGAAATTATGCATCTCGTGGTATTTTAAGTAGGATTTTGTTTTTAGACGCATAATTTCCAAGGAAGATTATTTAACAATATAATTATAACTTTTATAAACATTTGCTTTCCGAAAGACGAACAGAAAAACCGATTTTTGTCACCTTTTTGACAAATTTTACATTGACCTTTCGCGGTACTGGTAGTTTTTTTTTATTGGCGTGTGTTATAATAAGATAATTATTATTGGTCGATGTGTATTATAGTGTTAAATAATCAAGAAAATGTTTAATCCAATTTCATTAATAAATTAAAAAGTCCTCACCAAACTGGTAGTTAGATTGACTCGGACAAATATGGTAACAGGCCGATAAAAGTCCTTCTATGATTAGAGCAACGCCCATTGCGTGGAAAAGTCCATAGTGGACGGGTATTCCTCTTTCCTTAAATATAAAAAAACAATTTGTAAGTATACAGTATGATAATGTACAGTCGATTTATTGCATTTTTCTTTTGATAGTATATAAGCGCGAGTCATAAGCTCGCGTTGATTACGTCCCTGCCCTTTGTACACACCGCCCGTCGCTACTACCGATTGAATGATTTAGCGAGGTCTTCGGACTGAGCGCGGTGGCGTTTCGGCGTCGTCGATACTTTGGAAAGATGACCAAACTTGATCATTTAGAGGAAGTAAAAGTCGTAACAATTTGGGTTGTTTCTGTAGAGGGGGAAGGGTTGAAGCAGGTAAATATTTCGATAGAATTAGCAGAAGAAAAGTGAAGAAGAAGTTAGATGAGTAGTAAAACGACTGTTATACTTCCTTTCTTAAAAAGCAGGAAGGGGTAAAAGTAAATATTTCGATAGAATTTGTGGAAGAAAAAGTAAAGTTAAAAAAAAAAGGAGAAGAAGAGAATTAAGAAGACAGCTGTTACTTCTTCTCTTAGGAAGAGGTAAAAGTAAATATTTCGATAGAATTAGAGGAAAAAAAGTAAAGTTGAAAAAAGAAAAGAAGAAGAAGAAGAAGAAGATAATTGGGAAAACGCCTGTTACTTCTTCTCTTAGGAAGAGGTAAAAGTAAATATTTCGATAGAATTAGAGGAAGAAAAAGTAGAGTTGGAGAAAGAGAAGAAGAAGAAGTATAAGAAGAGAATTGGGAAGACGTCTGTTACTTCTTCTCTTAGAAAGAGGTAGAAGTAAATATTTCGATAGAATTAGGGGAAGAAGGAAAGTTGTTTTATATATATATATAATTTTATGTTTGGACCTTATAATATTACGACTGTTACTTCCTCTTAAAAAGAAGAGGTAAAGGGAAATATTTCGATAGAATTAGTAGAAGACGCGGATAGGATGAATATATATAAATAATGATTATATATTGTGCAGCGACCCCTTCGGGGACGCTGACGGGATGTTTCGTCCGGAAATCTCTTATACGTAATTTGGCCGAAGAAAACTGGCGCCCGAGGAAATTTTTGTGTGCGTGGTGAGGTAGAGAGAAGCAAAGGGTGTTTGGGAAAAATAATAAAAAAATCATTCGTTTGTAATAAACCATCGAAAAAGCAAAAAGAAATTTTCAAAACGTCATAAAAAAGTGACAGTTGACAGGTGAAAAATCTAATACCGATTCCGTCCACCTAGAATATCTAGGGCATCTACCACTGACATAATCGCCCTTCCCAATTGCACCCAGTTCCCCCAAAAGGGATCCGTAGCTCAAAAAACATGATTTTAAGTGCATTTTCGCCGTTACCATGGAAACCGCCAAACAGATTTTCACGCGGATTTTTTTTTTGCGTCCCGTGGGTTTACACGTTCGGGCCAAATTTCATCAAAATCGCTTTACCCGTTCCTAAGATATGATTTTTTAAATAATTTTGGAAACCCTATTTTAAATTTTTTCTCAATAAAAAGAAATATTTCTCTCAGCGTACATTCAATAAATTTCTGTAATAAAAACCACTGCACTACCACTGCACTTATTATTGTCTAAATGTCAAAAGCCACTCAAATCAAACGTGAAACAAGAGAAATCAATTGACAGTGACAGCAATTAATTTTTAATTAATAAGAAGTTTTTAGATGGAATTATTGATTATTTTGTCCACCCTTAATTATATAGACTATACTGACTGTTTGGTATTAAACGTGTCCCTTTTGGGATTAAAAGTGGACTGTAATATATTTATTGTTACGTGAATTAAATTAAAATGCTACTTAAAATACAAATAAACAATCAATGATGGTGGTATTCATAATCTCAATCACACCGCTAGGAAACTCGCTAATCCCGACACAAATCTTGCAAGCGGTGTTGCCAAGTGATATAAAAATATAAAGTTTGAATAATTTTTATAAAGCGCAATTGATGTCCAACCACTGACTATACTCACTTTTCTGATTTTGATGATTCTGTGTCTATCAAACACGGCACAAATGAACAGAATACCAAAAACGACGTATCCAATGTTAGAATAAATGTGGTTAAAATCGGTGAAACCTCCTAATGGATGTGCACACAAGAAATTATAATAACACATGTCCTGATCTCCTGTCCTGTTTATTATCTAAAAATTATAATAAATGAAAATAAAATACTGTCATCGGACTCTGATACTAGTTACCCTTTGATAGGTGACGACGAGCTGAACGACCGGTATACTATAAAAAATAGCTATGCTCAACGTGTGCCACAAGTAGTTGTACGATCTTTTCTTGATCCTCGCCGGATGTCTAGCGAATTCGGACAGAGTAAGATGATCTGTCACAAGGATTTTATATATTTGCTGTTCGGACATCGGTTCAAAATAATCCGTTACTATAACGTCTAAAAAAAATTAAATATTAAACTGTTTTAATTAATTATTATGGAATAGCTGGAAAAAAATTAATTATTAAAGCTAAAGAACAAATTATTGATCGCACTCTTTATATTAGTTTAGAAATGAAATATATTTATTATATTTTACTGGAAAGTAGAATACGCTGGTTTAAAAAACGCAATAACATTATGTAGTTAAGCTAAAGAACACTGTGACGAAGTCATTAAAAATTTCCATTCATTTATTCCCTAAATTAATTTCTAAAATTAATGTCCGTTTATGAACATTTCCATAGAATTACCATTTTTAAACCTTTGCAAGAGCCCTCGTAGTTTAAAACTTTTTATTATCACAATAAATTAAATCATGTCTTAAAATCTCAATTCTAGTAGGTTTATCAGTATACCGATCAACCAACGTTTTTTTTTTGCAAAACAACTAATAACAAAGGAGTAGGAACTAGCGTCCCTACTCTAGCAAAAGCCCAACTTTTGATAAAAGCAGATGTTTTCGATAGGAGCGCTCTCTTCCATGCAGCTTTTCGTTGACTGTTAACCAATGATATTGTGCTTGATAGTAGTTTTGCCGTCGAAACCAATTTTTCGCAATTTAGATTTCGTGCACCGAAAACCACAGTTAGGAATTAATCAAGGTAGGCACTTTATTTAAAATTCCGTCTAATAATTCTCCCTGCAATGTTCATTTCCGTTTCCATTGTCTACTTAAAGAATTCGAAATGTACTTTTAATTTCCTTAGTACCTGTTAGGGTAATAAAGCAAACTGGATTTAAATCCAGGGGCACTCGCACCCTTCATCCATTTTCGCGTTAACCAGGGGGTGATAGCGGTATTCGCTTGTTTCCCCCGTCGATAATCAGAGCTGTTTCAGCCCCTAGTCTTTATAACAGCTCGGGGAAAGGGTTTCTCTATTGTAGAAGCTATAGACTACCAGATGTCTACATAAGAGAGACTTTAAACCGAATAAATAAAAAACCGTCACTGTTCCCTAAAGTATTGGTCGAATGATTCCGTCTTAAATCCATTTGTTATTTGGGGCTATTATGCCTGGTATAAAGTAATAAGTGCGGGGAGGATATTAACCGATATTCTTACAAGTGCAACAGTTATTTTCCTTTCATGAGTGCAGAGTGATACAATTCACCGCCGTTTATAAATTTCTGATATTAATCACCGAGAGAGAAAATTATTATTTTTTTTTTCTAATAATTATAGTTCAAACCATATTTAATTTTACTGTTGTAGGATTTTTTTTTTCTCTAAAACCGGTTGTTTCTTTTAGTAGGAAAAAGTTTGTGCAAAGGGTGTTACTGCCCACCGTTTTATTTTTTTCAAAGGAAATTATTATTTTTATTTTCTCATGAATATAGTATAAGTCATAACTAATTTTACCGTTATAGGACTTTTCTGTTGATACCGAGACCGTTTATATTTTTTACCGTTGTTACATATACCGGGTGGTGTGATTTCACCCAAGTTTCATTTATTTTAATTTATTTGTTGCCTATTTATTTTATTTTGTAAATATATATTTGGTTTTAATTCCTGAGTTTAATTTTGAGATACCCCTTTATTTTTTTCCGTTTTCAGAGGTTAGTTCTTAGCAGGTAAAAGCGCAGTGCGAAATTTTATTTTTACCTTTATTTTATTGCCACAGTGTAGGTCAAGTAAGCAGTGAAGGTCTGGTTGTTGTATTTATTTTCTTTTTTTTTTGTACCTGGACTCCACTGAGTCTGCTGAGGGTGTACTCTAGGTGCACCCTAGGGCCGCAGAGTAGACTGCGTTACCAAAACTGGCGCCTGAGCAACCCTTGTTCGTAGAACAGCCTAGCGCCACCCCAACCCTTTTCTTTATTTTTAGGGGCAAAGAAAAGGGGGTTACAACACAGTGTAGGTATTATATCGCATTCTTCATAGTAGTTTAGGAATAAAATATATTTATTATTTTTCTGGAAAGTAGGATACGCTGGTTTAAAAAATGCATTAACATTATGTAGTTAACTTTCCAGTTCTGCTGTTACAAACTTTTGCTTTTTCAGAAGGTGGTTATAATTGACAAAGTTTAAAGTCTAAACGAACTGATATTTAAACAGATATAAAAAATATCTATTCTCTTACCGTTATACTTATTTTTCGAAATCGTTCCGTATCGATGGAACACCAGTGCAGTAGTTAAAACCAAAACGCCTACCAGGAATAGTACCGTTAACGTCGCCATGATGGCCGTCAGATAGTTTTCGGCTGCGATGCCGTTTCTGACGACGAACGTTATATTCGAACTGTCCATTTGTAAATAAGACACGATTCTGGTCAGTCTCGGTAAATACGAACTGTCTTGACTGCAGTCGTAGTTATCAGGCTTGGCGACAAACACTAGGAAGAAACCTCCGACAAATCTTCTTCTCTGAAATCAGTATTGAATCGTTATAATAAAGTTGTCGATATATAACCATCATTATTTTAATGGGAACATCGTCAACTATGGACACAAGAGGACACAGATTTTTTTTTCTGACGACTGAAAAGAAAAAAGGAATTCGAGAAGAAGAAAAAGATGTTTAACCAAACAAAGAATTTTATAGTATAGTTTGTAAAAGACGAGTCTTCCTCTTGATCAATTTTCTCGAACACATTGAAAGACTTGTATCCAACAAATTGTGGTAAGTACTGATTGGAATGTGCTCTATTGCGGCAGGTCTTGGAAAAAGAAGTGTCATTTGTTGAAGCGGGTCTAAAAAGAATGGTTACTAGGATAATCAGGTACATCTGTTCGGGAATAAAATTATATTTAAAAAGAAACTAAGTTCATTATTCTGGTTAAACTTACCGCCAAAGTGATGGCTCCTTTCGTGTTTATTGTTTGGTATGTTCCTTCGTATTTTATATCCTTGTTTGTATCGAGTACTGGACACTGAAACAATTACAATATTACTTATACGGGGTCCTTACTATTTCTTAAACGGTAACAGATAGAAAGTTGATTAAATTTGACAAAAGTTGCGCAGTTTTGTGCTCATTAAAATGATGCCAGGAAACCTTTGATATCTACAGATCCTCATGTAAGCCTCGACGGCATGGGGATACACCTGTAAAACAAACAGGTAGAAGATCCAGAGCCAGCAGAACATCAGCTTGAGATGGGCCTCAAATGCCTACAGATACACGAGAAACGACATAATCAGGAGGGATCTAGAATCTAAAAGGGTCCTAGACCTCATCCACAAAAAGGCCACTGACACCTTCGAAAAACTATAACATAGAACATAGACCACGCAAGGTGCTGGATTATAGCGACGAGTGACCAACCCTTGGGTGTAAAATTCAAGACGCTCATAGATTTAAGACTTTCTTTCAGCGTTCTCTTTCTTTCAGCATTCTCTTTCAGAATACCCGACAGAGCGCATCCACGAATCAGACAAGGATTGAGCAACTGACGACTAATCACCTGGGGGAGAAGGTCCCCCCAGTCGCCAAGTAGGAGACTGGGGGAGCCTTCACAGGTGGCGACTTTTACAGAACGTGCACACACAAGACAAACAAACGGACCACGAAACAGGGAAATGCCCTCAGCAAACCCTGTCTAAATGCTGATAATATGTCATCCTTCACAGCCCTTTAAGAAGGAATGGCATAATAAAGGATGGAAATTTGAGGCCCCCTGTAGCGAAGATGTCAGGGGGGACGGTGGTGTCAGGAGGGTTTCGATCCAGTTTAACAGGATGGGAACTTCCCGACTTGGGCTCAATAACTGTGCATGTGTGGGATATCTACAGAGATATTGAAAATATTGGACAAAAAATAAAAATTGAAATTTTTAAAAATTCATTCATTTGATTTATACGTTGACCAAAATTACTGACTTGTTTCTAATCCATGGCGCACACACCGTGGAAGGGGGAGTAATTACCCCTCTCCAATAATTTTTAAACTTAAGGTACTCAAATGTTTCATTATCAAAAATAAAGTCTTACATATTACCACTACCCCCAGACTTAAACTCTGGATTCCTCACTGTTCTAAGATGCGTAAATGCATCATTCGATTTGTTCTACTGTATTCTAAATACGGGGCTTGATATTTATTTTATGGTTCTTTTTTCTTTATATCTAACATTTACGTGAAATATAATTTAAATAAACCATATAAATTTTGTTAAATACTGTTATGTGAGCCATTTTAATATTCAGTCATGCTCTAACCCTCCAAGTCCCTCTCTCTCTTATTTGGCCTTTGAGGCTCAACTTGTCCGATTATTATACGTAATTAAACCCCTATGGCGGAGGTGCTTTCGATGACTGTTCGAGAAAGGACGGGATAATGATTCTAGTCTATTGGTGAGAATATGTGAACTTTCTAGAACATTCGCCAATTTTTTAAATTTGTATATAAATATTGGAGGAGGACCCAGCAGAGTTAGTTATTATATGGACAGTGAAGATAAATAGTGATCAGTTTAAAGACATTCGAAATATATATAAATTAGAACAGTGGTGTTAAAAAATAAATAAGTGTTTAAATAAATTATTGATAAATAAACTGTTGTTTTAAAATAAACAAACATCACAATACATTTATTACACTTATCACTTATTTTTTAATATAAATTTGCTACTTTTAAACAACTTTCCGTTCAAGAAACAATAAAAATAGCTTCAGTTATATAAAAAAACACGAATTTGATTATTTTTACTCACCTTGCTGTCTTGCACAGAAATCGTAAGACATTTCTCGTCCTGAGAATCCACTTCGATAACAATTGTATCAGACGTGTTCTTGTCGAATTTGTAAAATACGTATCTGGATTCGCTCGGTGACACCGACAGCGAGTAATTCTTATCTAATTCGACGAAGAAATATTTCTCTTCTTCCAATTCCACCGTCACGTTTACGGTTTGCGTGTTGGACGTCGACAAACTTATGATGAAGTTCTGGGCGAGGTGCAAAGGAGCGATTGAAAATGGCGAATCTGAAATCAATTAAGTGCATTGGCTGAAATACTTTTCGGCAACACCAAAGTCCCTTTGCGAATAAATATTTCTTTGACTGTAACAAATGCCGTGTTTGTTTCAAAACAATCTAGAATTAATTATATCATTTTGTCATTTAAAATAAAATAATTTTAGGCTCACTTTGTAGATATTTTTCGAAAAACTGATGACTTACCTGCCCAAACAATATCTTCCATATAATCGTGGCAAAGAGTTTTCGATGCTTTTGTGAAGGAAAATTCGTTTTGCTTTAGAGATGATTCAAGAACCAAGGGCATGGACCACGCTGTTACTTGTTTTTCTTGTCGAGCCACTACCAACACCGGTTTATCTTTTACGGCTTGCGGCGATGAAGTTTTTACCCGATACGGATTCATAGTCTGAAATTTGATTAATAAAAATAGTGCGTAATTTTCGACAAAAAAAAGTAAAATTTTGAACAATTTTGTACAAAATGGCAATTTTAGACAAAACGGGATAATTTTCAATCATCTTGAAAAAAATCTGATGTGTCCAACAAATGACTTTCCTATCTAGTTTTTATAGGCTTTTTCCGGTTATTTTGTACAACCTATTGCAGCATCTCTATAAATGTTTAGAGGATAAACTAAATATATACATTGTCCACATACATCTACCTCGAAACATTTTTCTATAGATATTCATTGAAAACGAAAATACTGAAAAATTTAAATTTAGCACTTTCCATTACGGTCCATTTTAGAAAAATCATGTATAAACAAAAATTATAGAGATCGATATCGCAAACAACTTTTAGTTCAACAATTTTCATAAAAATCAGAATTTTGCACATTTTGTCAAATTTCTCGGATACGGACCATTTCAGGAAATTTTAACATAAAACAAAAATTATAGACAATAATATTAGAAGTAACTTTTATTTGAACAATTTTCTTCTCCAAACATAAATAACAGATATATTCCATAAAATATAAAAACGGCCTCCCATAAAGTACCCCCCTAGATGTTCCGACTTTGTCCAAAATCTAATCATTTCACGTCAGGCCGAAATAAACCTTAAGTTTAAAATTTAATGTTATTTTCTTTATCCGTTTTTGAGTTTTCTTCAAAATTCGAAATTTACACATTTTCTCAAATATCTCGAATACGGTCCATTTTAGAGAAATTATGTATAAAATAAAAATTATAGAGAATTATATTACAAACAACTTTTATTTGAACAATTTTTATAAAAAAACATTTTTTTTACATTTTATCAAATTTCTCGAATACGGACCATTTTAGGAAAATTTTGTATAAAACAAAAATTATAGATAATTATATTAGAAGTAACTTTTATTTGAAGAATTTTCTTTTCCAAACGTAAATAACAGATATATTTCATAAAATATAAAAATGACCACCTATAAAGTACCTCCCCAGATGTTCCGACTCTGCCCAAAATCTAATCAGTTCATTAGACGCTAGAATAAAGCTTAAGTTTAAAATTTGGTGTTTTTCTGTGTATCGGTTCATGAGTTATGCGACACACAGACATCATCGCGAAAATAGTCAAAACGGATTCAGGGGACCTCAAAACGTAAAAATCCGTCGAAAACTCGAGGTCGAAAAAAATCATGATTCCTATACTTTCCTTATATCTGTATACAGATAGGAAAGTAAAAAAAAGGGGGTAATTTTCGACCATCTTGGACAAAAAGGGATAATTTTCGATTATCTTGGACTACAGGAGGGTAATTTTGGACAAAATGTGTTAATTTTTGTATGTATTTGAATAAAGAGATAATTTTGTCATTTTTGAACAAAACAGATATTTCTGAACAATTTTGGAGGAAAAAGGGTAACTTTGGAAAATTTTGGATAAAAAAAGGATAATTTTTGATCTTCTTAGACAAAAAAAGGTAATTTTTGATCATTTTGTACAGAAAAAGGGATAATTATGTACAAAAAGTGATTTTTGTTAATTTTTGGACAAAATGAGGTTTTTTGTTAAATTTTGGACAAAAAAGGGGATAGTTTTGGACAAATATGTAAAGACTGCTTTAGACTACACCATTTCTTGTACAAGATTTGAAACAATCTCTTGTACAATTTAAATTGTGTAGATTGTTTAAAACAATTCGATTTTTAAAACAAGCAGTCTTAATTGGGGTACGTTCTATAGATTCTTATATTTGTGACAATTGATTTCGTTTATTTAAATGTTATGTGTGTTTAAACTCTGTACCCGTATTAAATTATACTTACTTCGAGATCATTATAAATCAGGACATATTGTTGATGGTAATTTAACTGGAAAGTCTGCTCAGAAGTATCGTTCATAATCCTTGTTTCTATTTGAAAATTTTCTTGTCCCATTACTATTACAACATGTAACAGCGTCCATGATATTATTTTCATTCCTCTACCTACAAAAAAAAATAACAGTAAGTTGAAGTGGTTTGAAAGATATTTTGGGTTATTTTTCTTTTATTATTTACAGGAAAACATAAATAAATATTACTTTAAAAGGACCCAGCTAGAGTTAACTGTGATTAACAGGTACATTTAAAAATTAACTAATGAAAAACATTAATGTATTCCAATACTTTTTGTACCTATGAAATTGTTTGTAAATGGAATCACAATATTTTTAATTTTGACAAATACTATATGTAAAACGCTTTAAACATTATTCATGTATAAAAAAAAAATCTAAAATCAGCCACATATTGGTGGAACATTTATAGCAAGATTTCCTAGTTTTACATTTTTTTGATATAATTATTTTGTTGTTAAATGAAAAATATTATACATCATTCATATAAAAGTCGCGCGATTGTCGCACTCTGCATGTGCCTCGTGCGACTACATTTCCCACTCGTGTGAAAAATGTCACTTTCCACACTAGTAATGTAATATACTATTTCTAAAGGGGCGGTGGTCTAGGAAAGGTTGAGAACTTCTTGATTTATACCTATATTAATAATTATTTCAGAGTGTGGTTCAAAGCTCACTGAAGGTTTAAGCTTATTGTAAGTTCACCTGTTAATTTCAACATCAGGTTTACTAGTGATATATTCTTAATGGCATCTTTTGAGATTTATTCCGGTCCTAAATATTTACTCTTCAAAAGTAGTTTAAATACTTACCAAAAACAAACATTTAATTCAATATTTGGAATGCAATCAAATTCACAAAATACTCATCATGATTGCTGTCACAGTTAAAGTGAGATAACGTGTTAAATTGGGAGAAGTGCTAAATGATTTTGCTTATCTCGTTTACCTTTTTATCTTTATCTATCGCAACTATACGGAATTCCAGGTAAATTAATCCCTGTTTTTAGATAAATATATTACGTTTATGTCTAATTGATTTTTACATGTACCTACCTAGTAAAGAGTCATCAATAAACAAATAAATGTCCAATGAGTTCATAGTGAAATAAGTAAGGAATTTCGTATGTTTTAATACTACAATTTATTTCGAAAATGGATTAGGATTAGTTTAATATACTCAAAGAAATATTATTGGTTGATATGTAACGAAACACATAGTGATTTATTAAAATGGATTGAATCATTATTAATGCGTTAAAATTGGAAATTTACGTTCATTTGAAAGAGCAATCTTGAGTAGGGTTCCTCAGGGATCAGTTTTGGATCCACTCTTATTTATATTATACGCTAGTGACCTTAAATTCCATCCGCGACAATGTTATTTACGAGGAAGGCGCTTAAATATTTAGTGATCCATCTCTGAACTTCCGACAGCTTCAAGATCACCTTAACTCCATCTTTAACTGGTGCTCAGATTCAATGGTACCTCTAAATACAAACAATATTGATTAATTACTAAATGTACTGTTTCGAAATAAAGAAATGAAACTAATTTGTATTTTATAGAAATTTTATGCTAAAATAATACATACATGGTGTTGCATTTGAAAATATTGAGTAAATTAACTTAAAATTAGCCATATTTAAAACATGTTTCAAAATACTCTGTATGAAATAAACCAATTCTATCATCACTATTCGTTAGATTAGTATGTTTAAAACAATTTTGAAATCATTGTAAACCTACCTAAATATGAATTGCTTGGCAAACCTGTAATATTTTTTAAAACATTCAAACGTTGCTTGTCTATAGCAAAAATTTAAATATTGAACAATTACGCACTAATATGAACCCTGTATATTTATATAAAAAAAATACTCTTATTATAATTAATTGGCTTAAAATATTTGAATAAATAAATAAGAAACTTAAGATTGCCATTAATAAACGTAAAAATGGTTTATTATCTATTAATTAATGTTTAGCTAACAAAATATCCGAATTTTGTAATATTTTTTGTTGTACATAGTTTAAAAAAATATAACAAATTAAATACATACCATTTTTTTTAAATACAATAATACTTAACGGTCACTGTTTCATTAGATTTACAAGAAACATTAATTCCGAAATGGCTGTATTACTCACTGTTTGAATTTATATAAAAGTTGATTATATCCGTTATTGAAATAAATGTTCAATTTCGATTTCTATGTCTATATTTAGTACGGTTCAGTTATGAGAAATTTTGTAAAAAACTATTTGGATAGGAAATCTATAGAATCAGTTTAGAAACAATGAAAGCATTAAATAATAAACAAAAGAAACATAAACGGTTTAAACAAGAGATTATGTGGTATATACAGATCCTGATAACTGCTAACACGAGAAATGTATACCAAATTCTTTATAAATCAACTTAAACTGATTAAAAAATGTCCAAAGGGCAATATTGTTAGTTGAGAGTCATATACACATTCTGAGAGCAATCAAACCTATTATACATATTACTTCAGCGCAGTGTTGCCAGTCTAGTACAATTGTACTAGATCCAGTACTTTCTTTAACAATTTGGTACGCTAGTACACTCAAAACTTAATCTAGTACTTTTTCTCTTTTAGTGTGTTATCATTTGACGCGTTTAAAATATACTGTTGGGACACAGTATTATGATTAGGTATACTGTGATTGGGTTCTTCCGCCTTTGTTTTGTGTGTGTGTGATATAAAGCTTTTTTTAATCCTCAAATGAACCAAACCACATCACAATTCGAAAATCTAGTACATTTGTTAGAATCTGGTACATTTTTTAGACAAATCTGGCACATAACAAAAACACATTCTGGCAAGACTGCTTCAACCATTCAATCTTCTATTTTCCCGGGTTTGCTAGAAAAAAATGTCAAAATAGTTTAATTTATGGTGAATCGGGTAAAACTATTGAATAAAAAATACTTGCATGGGCAATACTCTTAGTTTAGAGTTAGGTATACAAACATTATGATAGTAATTAGACCACTTTTCGATTTTTGGTTCCGATTTTACACCTATTTCAAGAGTTTACCATTTTTTTAATGTAAATATACAGGGTGGACCAATCTTGTGGAAAAGTTCGATATCTTCCTTGTTGAAAGAGATATTAAAAAAGTGTATTAAGAAAATTATGGACAGGTTTGAGGTTAACATTTTAAAATTATTGGGAGGTATACAGGGTGTACGAACCAAACATGTTTTTTTTTAATGATAACCCCAGTATATTATTTTATATTCTGTTTACTCATCTTTTTTTCATTCTTCTAATATATGGTTTGTCTATGTTATATAGGGTACTTTTCAAGGAATTGACATTTTTGTAAGAGAATCGTACATAATTCAACGTCCAGCAGCCAATTACACACTGTAGAAAAAAAATTTTTTTTACCCACACGAATTTTATAATATGATGTATTATACTTTTTTTTTAGTTATATTTTTTGATATTTTTAACATTAAATGAAAATTATGGTTATTTTGATAAATTAAACTAGTTTTTCATAAAAAAACTCTTTATCAACAGTCATAAATAATATGTGCGAATACAAAAAAACTCAAAAACAAACAAAACAAAACATAATTATAAAAGTTGTTCAAAGTGACCTCCGATAGCATCAATACAATTTTGTAATCGAATTTCGAATTACTGACTCACATTTCTCAGCATTTGAACATCAATACTTTGAAATACATTTCTGATTCGAGTTTTCATGTCCTCTTTTGTCGTTGCAGGCACATTATATACTTTGTTTTTTACATAACCCCACAGAAAAAAATCAATTTTTGTCAAATCCGGTGATCGCGCTGGCCACCCTAACGGTCCTCCTCTTCCGATCCACCGTCTTGGAAAGTGATTATTTAAATAATTATGAATTACTACAGTGTGATGGACTGGTGCACCATCGTGCAAAAACCACATTTGTTGGCGAATGTGAAGGGGAACATCTTCGAGTAACGTAGGCAAATTATTTTCAAGGAAATCCAAATATACTGCACTATTTACTCGTCCTTCAAAAAAGTGTGGCCCTATCACATAATCACCCACAATGCCACCCCAAACATTTAATGACCACCTCATTTGGTTATGAGTGACTATAATGTGAGAGTTTGTTGTAGAATAATGGTGAAAATTATGCCTATTTAAACCTCCATTTTTATGAAAAGTCGATTCATCACCAAAGAGCACAAAATCAAAGAAATTTCTTTGTTGAATAATTTTTTGTTGGGACCATCCAGAATATATCACTCTATTTTCAAAATCCCGTTCAAGAAGTTCTTGATGTAACTGGATATGGAAAGGATGCATTTTATGTTTTGATAGGATTCTTTGAACAGTTCCGTAACTGACTTGTTGTTGTCTTGAAATATTTCGTTTACTAATATGCGGATCATCATAAATACTCAACAATACTTTCATTTTATTCTCTTCCGTGATAGCAGTTTTTGTTACTTGTTTTTGCTCGTATGATACAGTACCAGTACGATTAAAACGTTCCATTAGTTTTTCAAACGCCTTTTTATTTGGTTTCCGGCGTTCCGGATATCGTTGATGGTACATTCTGGAGGCAAGTAAATAATTCTTGTTGCACTCACCTAGTATATAAATCATATCTCCCATTTCTGGGATAGAAAAATTCGTAAATTTTTTTCTAGTGTGTAATTGGCTGCTGGACGTTGAATTATGTACGATTCTCTCACAAAAATGTAAATTCCTTGAAAAGTACCTTATATAACATAGACAAACCATATATTAGAAGAATGGAAAAAAGATAAGTAAACAGAATCTAAAATAATATACTGAGGTTATCATTAAAAAAAAACATATGTTTGGTTCGTACACGAGCTATGCAACACCCTGTATACCTCCCAATAATTTTAAAATGTTAACCTCAAACATGTCCATAATTTTCTTAATACACTTTTTTAATATCTCTTTCAACAAGGAAGATATCGAACTTTTCCACAAGATTGGTCCACCCTGTATATTAACCCTTTTGTCAACATAAAAAAATGCTTGGTAATATTATCTTTAATTCAGAAAATGCCTAAAGGGATTTTTTATTGTTATAGACGTCTAGAAGCGAAAAAAATCCATCGATAAGCAACTCTAGTTTAAATTTGACATATTGTACATAAAAACAACGCCGATATAGTCATGTTCAACCCCATCGGCCACCATTATTGCAAAGGATAGAAAATTTTCAAAAAAAGTGATGGGTAGAGGGTGGTACATTTGTTAAATTGTTAACAATTTTTTATAACATAAAAATTTAGCCATACTAGTGATCAACCCAACAATTTGCAGTAGACCCTTTTACTATATGTTTCATTCTCCATTTCATATCTAATAAATAACAAACTAATATAAAAATTATTTTATATTTTTACCGTACTATAAGGAAAATTACAGTTTTCACCTTGACACTAGAAAATTCTTTCTAGTAACCACCTGATGAAGGAAATTTTCTTTAGACCTCGTGGAGTATAGAGAAAATTCGATATAATAAAATCATGAATTTTTTAAATAATTGATGAGGCATTTCAAATTCCAATCCAGTCTGTTTGTTACGTACATATTTGAAAAAATTATGAATAATAAGTTAATTACAATCAAGATTTCTATGCAAAGTGAAACATTAATTTTAGTGGATAACTATTGATTTATTTACACTATCATAATAGGCTTACTAACCTCATTACGAAGATAGTAAGAATATTAGTTATCAATAATAAGTAATGAAAAGAGGAGGAAAATGATAAGGAATAAAAAGAATATCAAGCAGCATAATA